CAGGTCTTTCAAAGGATCCGATGTCAACATTTGCGCCTACATTTACAAGGCATTCGTGAGGCCAATTCTTGAATTCGCTGGCCCGGTATGGGACACTGAGCTTCTGCGCGATAGAAATCTCGTCGAATCAGTACAGCGTCGGGCTACTCGTATCCCTTTTGGAGCACGAAGACCAAGCTATGAAGATCGCCTTGAATTATTCAAGCTGACCTCATTCTCTGAGCGAAGACTTCGTGGCGATCTTATAGTTACGTTCAGGATACTTCATGGTTTGATGGGCACCAACCTCATGCATCTATACCGTCTGTCGCGCAGCAATCTACGCGGACACAGGTTCAAACTGCATAAGGAGCCATTTAAAACAACAGTCCGACAGTGGTTTCTTCCCAACCGCATATTCAACGCCTGGAATAGATTACCTGAAAGTGTGGTTGGTGCTACTTCAGTTAATAGCTTCAAAGTGCAGTATGATAGCTGGAGGAGTGTACAAATTTTATAGCTATGAACTGTCTTTTTTTATTTTTTTCTATTTGATGTATTTGTGTTACGTGTCCGAACACTATATTTACTGCATGAGCTTATAGTACTGTGTACTCTGCTCATCTCAATTATCATAATAATAATAATAATAACATATAAAGTGGAATTTATAACTGGTACATACATTAACTGAATATTATCTACGCATAATATATCAAGCTTTAGTCAATCTTCACATAACATATGGTATCATAATATGGGGTGCTGCACACGACATATCTTAACGATTTAGACGTGCCCTAAAGAAAAATTGTAAAATCGGTGCTTGGCTAAAATTATACCCAACTGATGACTTGTATAATAATGTACAAGTAGATATTACTAAACAATTTTGCTTCTTGCATACCATCTCGCATTATCATAAAATTATTAATGACCGCGACACAATCAAACACAATCATAAATACCAGATAAATTACGCGCAAAAAGTGTTCCTAAACCTAAAAGATGTGTAATGAAACGATCTCACCTGTTTTTAGCTCTAAAATTGTATGAGCACTTACCAAAAAGCTGAATAAAAAATTATTTTTAAACACACCTGATACCTTGTTTTTTAATATACTGATGTATTCTGATAAATCCCGATGACACTGTTTCGATTCTATACATGTTCAGCTACGTTTGTGGGAATTTCATGCTTTCCATAATTCCATCACCATAAGATCCTCAACTACCGGACTAATACGTCTGTAGCCCCTGAGAACGGTGCAAGTCCTTGCAAGATGACGTCGATGGTGGAATTAAAACAATAGAAGACGGACAATCAGAAGGCCTGCTTTGATCGGTAACTGGAGTGCCGCGGAATCCACTCGAAATTGGAAGCGAAAGAGAAGTAATTGGGAATGGAAGAGTCATATAGTTCTGTTTTGAGAGGGATATCGTAATCGCAATTTTGTCTCCGCGAACTCAGTCGGCCTGAACTTTTCTTTTATTCAATTGACGACTAGGTAGATGGAAGCTGACGTTAACTTGAGGCAATTGCCTCTTACCCTAGTATTGAGCAGAGATCTGCAGCAATCTAGTTAGGTGTAACTGTAGCGCTGTCGCTGTAACGGCAAATATCGCAATTCTTTGTTTCTTGAGAATATTTCATCAGACAGAACAAAATTATGGAAAATGAATGAAGCGTTGTCGTTGAATCAGTGTGTCAGTGTGTGATGAAGTAATTCTCAAGAGTTCTCTAGAAAAGAACTTAAAAATATTTACCTTACATCTTTACCCTAAAGAAACTTACATGACTCGCCATCCTGAAACAAGAAAAAAAAATTTACTCATGGATCAACATGTTGCAAAGAATGTTCCGGTAGCACCAAGAAAAGTAATTAAGGGCCAATTTCACCAACAATAGTCCGTTATTCTCCACCTATAGGGTAACAGCCCTTCAAATACAGCGAATGAGCTCCAAGTTCCAATCAACAAATTTTAGCAACCAATAGCTATGAAATGTTAAAAACAAAATACTGTCAAAGTATGAGATGACATTTTGTCATTGAAACATCATCAATCATCATCTTATTGAATATTAAGAAATTACATATCATTCAGTCAAAATTTAAAAAAGTGTTCGATTTTTGAATGAAATTCACGTTATTATTTAATATTGTCGATTGTTTATTCATGTTTATATTATTTTCTTCAATTGATATGCGATTTTCCTGATTCAAGATCATCTACTGGGTGTTTTTTCCTATAAACCTCTTGCAGATAGCCATTAAGCACCTACTTGATGACTGGCTCTACCAAAAAGTCCATAGATATTGCTCGTTTCCGAACATTCATTCATTTACTTGCCGTTCATCAGAACCATTATGGCACCTTAGATTGATATTCCCACAAAACCATTCTGGTTTTTTAATAGCCATACACATCCATAAAGTTGAATATTTTTCGTTGTTCAGGAACTTATCAAACATCCACACTATATTCACAGCGATTAAGAAATACCCAAATATATGTCGTAGAGCAACCAGCAAACCTAAAACCTGCAGAAAAACTAGAAATTTGCAATATTTTTCTTTTTTCACTGAGTACATATTCTGGGTTATATTTATATTAGACGTTATTTGAATCACAAAACATATACACTGATTTGAATGACAGCTGATTATCTCCTGATATTTTAAAACTAACCATATCGACAAGTGACACATAATGTGGGATCCGTCAACACTTTATTAATTCCATGTCTTATTTTTGTTTCACTGTGCCTGCTTAGATATTCAAATACGGCCAGGAATTATTAGCGCCTGGCTATTTTAGACCATCAATAACTCCTTATTTTAGATCTCTCCTTATTTTGTTTTTTCCACGCATTCATGGTAGAAAGAAAAATATTTTATCGAATATCGATACCGTATACCGTGCATCAGGCACGCCCATCACTACTTTGACAGATTGCAGAATGATGTCAAGGTGACAATCGTTATGTGCCAGTTGTTTTTGTCTGAAATAGGTAAGTAGGCTTTGTGAATTAATTTTTTTTTATAGCGTTTCCAGAATTTCATTTTTCGAAACGATGTCAAGGGCCGGCAGCGGAAAATCTTCCTCTGAGAACTGAAAATCATTAAACGCGCTGTTTTCAGTCTATTTTATTCTATCCCTTGGGGAAGTACAGAATGAAGAAAAGACTACAGTGCTCAGTGGCTACTCAGTGGCTCAGTGCTCGTCTGTAATGATAATATTCAAATACTAATAAACACCTAAATAGCTTTCTGGCCTTTCAATCTCGAAGCTACCGTTCCTCGCTAAGAGATGGTAGCACAGTTAAGGATAGACTCGGGTATACGGTTACGGCTGTTTATGATTCCTCTCGATATCGATATATCGTCATGAAACCATCGATGCGTAAAGATCGATGTTCTACGTCCGATGTATCGATGTTTTCGATACATCAATGTATCGTCTATCGCCGCCATCCCTATATTGTATCCCCACCAGTCACCAGTCAAAAAACTTAACCACCATTATTTTATCACTATTTACAATTCATTTTAGCTCTTATTTTTCAGTAATTACTAATAATTTTAGGTCTATGTCTACAGTAATTGCATTATGCACCACGGAGATGTAGGTATTAAGATGTTTTACACATATCGGTGTTTTAGGATGGGGACGACCATACTGTTTTGATTGCTTTGAAGAAATTCATTAACCGATGAATTTATAACAACTGATTAGTATTAGGATGTAAAGAGAGATCAGGAATTGGTTGAAATATATTTTATATTCTATTTTCTTGCAAATCCGCACAATTCAACAGGTATGTGTAGCTATAATGATCACATATACAAACAGTATATTGAACTCAACAAATTTCGAGATTGGCAAGAATTAACAAACGACCAAACCTGCTGCCAAATTTAACAGCTAGAAAGTCGACCTATTATTTCTCCCATTCCCATTCGCTGAGGGGATAACGGATGGTCAAATGTACACCTATAACATTAATCAAAATACATGAAAGTTATCCTGTTTTCTCTGTACAAAAGCATCATGTTGAAATCAAAAAGTGGTCTTGTTTATAATACAGTCGAATTTTTACGATTTTAATACATTTTAATAGAAATCACTGATATTGTGAGACCTTTGACAGCTTCCGTCAAATTGCATTTCGATAAGGTATTCTCCTATTGGTCCATAATATTAATGTTGGTGAAATCGGCCCTAAATCCGTCATTTATCCTCTATAGTTTTTTATAAGCGCATTCAATGAAGGCTCTCATGAATACAAGTATGCATTACAACTGTTGGATCCTTAATCCAGTCTTTTTGTTGTACAAATTGGAACTATGAAGCCTTCTGCAGTCAAATTATCTTGCTTTGTAGAAGATCCACATAACGAGTTTGTCATATTCGAGATTGCATAATGTCAGCATGAAAAAAAACCTGTTTTATTAAAATATAGTTATACCTTCAATAGTGAACATTTATATAAGTAGATGTATCAAAAAAGTCCGGACTCGCTGTGTAACTTAGCAACAGACGGCAACTCGGCGCTGTCCTACTAAATAAATTAGATGACTAGCTCACACAGTAGTTTGTGAAGTTTTCTAATTGCTTCTGTTTTACAAGAATTTTATTCCGTGTCTTTGTGTTCGCTTGATTTCCTCTGTCGACAAGAGAGCAAAAGCGTGGAGCTTGGAAAAGCAGCTACATAAATAGTAAATATGCTTCGGTAAGTTCATGATGATTGAGCGATGAGACGTTTCCAGATTTTTGAGAGACGCTGGCGATTACAGAAAAAGATCCAAACAGCATCATAGCTATACAGGGTGTATAAAATTTTGCAAGCATCTTCTTCTGACCGTATACGTTCATGTTTGAAAATTGGAATAGTTGTGAAGATTGCAGATGAGTATCAATGTGTCCATAAGGTATTAAAAAAAGCGATGAGGCTGGAGGCCTGACTTCGTGGAATGTGCAGGAGTTTCAAAGATGTTGAATATCTCTATTGTTAGCAGGGATATTCATCAGTGATCATACCTTAGAGTTTATAAGGTGCCATACTCCACAAATGCTAACAAAAGGATGGAAACAGAAAGGTGGAAACTTTGATGTAAATTTCACTGTGTGTGCGAGTTACATAGATTCCTTTCAAAAAATCTAGCAAAAGTGACAATAAACAAATTTTCAGATAAGTAATGGCTCAAAATCGCACATACGCAGTTTTGAGATAAGTTCACTTTACAAAGTACTTTTGAATACTTGTTCTACAAGATAGATTTTTACTAATTGGACATCATTCAAAAATAATGACAAAGGAGCTTTTAGAGTTATTAAATTCGGATAGGCAGAGATACCAAAACATAGAAATAGTTTTATGATACCCAACTGGTTCGCAGATAAAGATTCTTAAGGAATTTTAAATAGTGCTAATTTGGTTGTAGTGTGGAGGAACGGATGATAACTCTCAGATTCTAGGCCCTCAGATATCGTTGTCCCGCAGGATGCCCACCACATATACTACATCACCGTGGTAAGTATGCTATCATTCTAAGGGTATGCAGTGAGTGTTGAAGTAATGAATATCGATTTGCTAAAAATGAAATATCAATAAGTATCAATGTAATTTAAACTTAGACTTAGACCATTGGTTTGCCGTAGGATGCGTTTCTGTAGACCATCGCAAATTCTATACACTGCTGCAGTCTCTAATGCTTTTATACCTCGCAAAATAAATAATTCAGACATTAATTCAAACGAGAAAAACAATAGTTCTATTTCTGTCAAGTAGTAGCTAAAATAGAAGCGTCGGCGGTGGTTTTAACCTAATAATCGGCAGGTTCTCGCGTTTCTCATCTTAATTCACCATGCAGAGAGACACAAAGAAAGCGCAGTCGGATCTGCCGAGCTGCAGCTCGGGACGTCGGCAGACTAACAGAATCCACCTGAAAAGAAGTTTGACCGGAATCCGGATGAGGCTTCCACTACCATTCAGTCTCTCTCCGAGCATCACGTGCATAAGAGAGCCAAACCAGTGGCGTACATTCATTTGAAACATTATAGGCTGCTATAGGGTGACTTGTAATGTCACGTATTCCTGTTAAGGGGTGATAGATTAGGTCAGAAGCAACCGATTTTGTCCTATCATGTCTTATCCAAAAGTTAGCCATTTTTGAGTTATCTGAATTTTAATTTTTTTATTTTTTCTTCCGATTTCAGACGCTTAAAATTGAAATACAAAAAACTGCATGCTTGATTTTGAGTTTTTTGTTATCGTCGCATAGCAAACATTCCAATAGTTCATAATAAGTAATAAAATGTTGAAAAGCTAAAAACGTTTTAAAATTACGATTTTTAAATGTATCATTTCCTTTTCTTTTTTACTAACTTATTCGATAAAAAATGCAATTTTCTGTAAAAATCTCCTAGTAATGAAATGTGCAAATTATGTAAATAATATTTCTATATCTAAGAAGCTTTCATTTGAGGTATTAAGCGTTCAATTATCTGAAGTACATGCAGAGAAGCAACAATGACACCCACAGATGTTGGATTTTTAAGGAATTTGTATTACCTATTGAACAAGTTGTTACTGTCCTTAAAGGACTCGCATGCCATGATTGTTTTATGGCATCGGCTCGGCGAGGAAGCGAGCGAGGAGAGCTGACTTAGTGGAGGAGTGAGACAGAGAGAGAGCTGTTATTATTCATCATTGTAGTTACGCCATCGCCGCACGCCGAGTGAGAATTAGGTTTAGTTGGTATCAACTACTGCGTACGCGCACACGTTTTACGCACGATTATTATTTTCGAGTTTCCCAGTTCATTTCGAATGGTTTCTTGATCATCATGGCAGACGCAGAAGATCTGCCAGGACCTCGTCATAGCGAGCACGGGCAAACTTTTACAAATGAAGAATACGCAGACGTAATGTTCTGTTATGGACTTTGTAATGGCGATTCTACAGCTGCCCGCCACGCCGTGAATATCGGCAGCGTTTCCCGAATCGCCGAACACCTCATGTTACTGTGTTTGACTCTGTGTATCGGCGTATCCGCCAAACCGGACGTGTGCAAAGGCAACATAGTGATGCTGGTCGACCCCGGGTCTATCCCCCTGAAGACGAAATCCTTCGTGTGTTTCAGGAAGACCCTACTACGTCTACGCGCATTGTGGCTGCTGGGTTGGGTATATCACAATACAAAGTATGGTTTACTGTGCATACTGCAAGATTATACCCTTATCACTACAGGCCTGTGCATGTGATTGAAGAGGGCGATCCTGACAGACGATTAGATTTCTGGTACATGTTACATGCAGATACAGGAGATCTAGACTATTTTAAGAAAATTCTGTGTACCGATGAATCGAAGTTTGATAAGGACGAGATCACTAACTACCAGAATGCTCATTACTGGGCTGATAAAGAAGCTTTAAACCCCCGAAAAATAAGATCGACGAGGTCTCAGAACCGGTTTTCAGTCAATGTGTGGATGGGCATCATTAATGGATATTTAATTGGACCTCATTTCCTGCCCGCCAATTTAAATGGAGAAGTGTATGAAGAGTTCTTGAAAAATCACTTGTTTCCATTAATGGAAGACGTCCCATTGGCGACGAGAAAAAATATGCGGTTCCAGCACGACGGCTGTCCCGCACACTACAGTAGATTAGTCCGGGCGTATTTAGACTTAAATTTCCAAATCAATGGATTGGTAGAGGCGGGCCCATTGCCTGGCCAGCAAGAAGCCCAGATCTCACACCGATGGATTACTATGTGTGGGGACATATGAAAAGCCTGGTGTACGATGTTTCGCCCGTACCAACGCGCGATGAATTAATTACAAGGATAATCAGTGCAGCTGACCAAATAAGAAGCCGCTTAACAACTAGAGCTACCAAAAGTGAATTACGTAAAAGAATGCGGGCGTGTATTCGTAACAGGGGATTACAATTTGAGCAGAATCTGTAAAATACTAAAGGAAATGTAATTAAATAAAACTGTAATTAAAATAAAAGCCTTTTATTTTTTATACGTAATTATCGTTCGTACAACTTTACTCATCTTTTTTTAATTTTATGTCTTTGTACTTGAGTTAGTTGTAACTTTTACACTTCAAATGAAAGCTTGTTAGATAGAGATATTATTTACATAATTTGCACATTTCATTACTAGGAGATTTTTTACAGAAAGTTGCATTTTTTATCGAATAAGAAATAAGAAAATTATACATTTCAAAAGCGTAATTTTAAAACTTTTGTAAGTTTTCAACATTTTATTACTTATTATGAACTATTGGAATGTCCGCTATGCGATGATAACAAAAAACTCAAAATCAAACATGTAGTTTTTTTGTATTTCAAATTTAACCGTCTGAAATCGGAATAAAAAATAAAAAAAATTTGATTCAAATAACTCAAAAACGGTCAACTTCTGGATAGGACATTATAGGACAAAATCGGTTGCTTTTGACCTAATCTATTACCCCTTAACAGGAATACGTGACATTACAAGCTAACCTGTATAATTTACCTACCACGACAAAATGCAGACTGACGCCGTCAAACGAATAGCGAATTTACAGACAGTCTCACACTTTAGAGTAGGCTATTGTCCAACCATAATTTTGACCTGACATGAGCTATAGAAGAATTGAACTGATTTACAAAAATGGCGTCAAGTAGATAGGCTCTGTACTTCTCACGCATTTCTGAACAAATGGAATTAATGTGCAGCGTGTATAGTATCTAAGCCAATTTTTGCACGCTGTGGTATCTTTATTGTTCCAAGGTTATAAAAATCATTTTACCTTGACATAAGACCGTAGGGTAAAACGAATATCAGTGATAAACAGTATTCTTGATTTAAGAAAATGAAACGCTGGCCTTGGATATTCACTATTCTTCCATATGTCTTGGTATCTTACTACACACATCATCAAAAGTGTTGGACCCCCTTGCGTACTGGGAAACTATAGCCTTCTAATTTCAATCTTTGATATATTTTAAATTGGGAATATTTTTACTATATTTATTCAACAAAACGTTAAATTAATTTCATTAATATGAAAAGAAAAAGAAAGTTGAACAAGTAAGGTACCGAAAATTTTATTTTTAAAAATTAAAATTAAAGAAAAATAATTATTCTAAAGAAAAATAAGACATAATTAATCACCAGTTCGGTGTCCCCTAGATGTTAGCAGTGCGTTAACACGCCTTGGCATTCCTATTATTCGGTGGTTAATGCTTTCTTGGGGTAAATTATTCCACTCTTCATTTACTGCTGCAGCCAGCTCATCCAGGGTTGTAGGTGGATCTATTCTGTTCCGTACGGCTCGAGCTATAGTGTCCCAAATGTTTTCAATGGGGTTCATGTCTGGGCTATTCGCAGGCTACGGCAATCTCACTATTTGGCCCCTTTCTACAGCCCGCTGGATCATTCTCGCTCTATGGGGCCTTGCATTATCATCCATAAAAATGAAGTTGTTACCGAATTCATTGCGCAAAGGTTGAGTAATGGGTTATATGACATTTTCTTCATAAATTTCTGCAGTCATTGTCCCCTGGATCTGAATTAAAGGACTCCGGTGGTTAAACATTATGCCTCCCCAAAACATTATTGATCCGCCCTGATATGGGACAACTTCTCGGGCCAAATTTAGTCGCTGTTGATGTCCTGGTTCTCTCCAAACCCTTATTATACGGTCATCACTCACTAGTCCAAACCTAACCTCATCTGTAAATACCGCATTTCGCCACTGTGGTAAAAGCCACTCCTGATGTTCTCTAGCCCACTGGAGACCAGCAGCAATTTGTCTACGAGTAAGACGTGGAACCCTTAAAGGTCTTCTGGGGCCATTCGCAATCTTCTTCTGATGGTAATAACTCTTCGAAAGGTATGTTGAATATGCGATCTGATAGCTGTACTTGTTGAAAATCTATTCCTTCGGGCAAATAGAGCAATGTAACGATTCTCCCTATCATCTGTTATTCGAGGACGCCCACTGCGTGGCTGATTTTCAACTGAGCCAGTTTCTTGGAATCTTTGAATTGTTCGAATAACCGAACTTCTTGGGTTACCCAATCCAGTGCTATTCGGTGATTTGAAAATCCAGCTTGGAAGAGGGCTACTATTCGTGTTCTAGCAAAACCAAAAATTTCAGCTCGCTGTATTTTAAAAGTTACAGTATAAAATTTTATTTTAATCTTTTTGCTCAAACACTACCATTAAACTGACTTATTTCTATAAAAATCCAAACACATTTTTATCTCAACGTTTTTTTTTCGTTTTTTGATTGCTAAATATATAAGGATTTTTTGTTCACAAATAGAAAGTAGATAACGTACCTCTAGACGGATTTATGCAGGGGGTCCAACACTTTTGATGATGTGTGTATTTGCCGCCCATGGAAACCTTTACAGCTGGTGATGTCAGTCTATGAATACTATCGAGTTGATAGTTTAATTTTTTCTGTATAATGTCATGGTTCATGATATCTAGGAAGCTACTATATGACCTCCGTGTCCTGTCATATCCT